CTCCTGGGTTCAGGCAATTCTCCTGCCTCAGCCTCCTGAGTAGCTGGGATTACAGGCACGTGCCACCATGCCCAGCTGATTTTTTGTATTTTTAGTAGAGATGGGATTTCACCATGTTGACCAGGATGGTCTCGATCTCTTGACCTCGTGAGATGTTTTTAGTAGAGATGAAGTTTTGCCATGTTGGCCAGGCTAGTCTCGAACTCCTGAGCTCAGGTAATCTGCCCGCCTCTGCCTCCCAAAGTTCTGGGATTACAGGTGTGAGCCACTGTGCCCAGCTTTTCTGCTCAGTTTTAGAGTTCAGTGTCTGGCAACAGCAGAAGAAAAGCATCCAAGAAGAGATGGTGCTTTTGCTGGATTTTGAAAGAACTGAAGATTTTTAGTAGGAGAAGTTAAAGCCAAGGGTATTCCAGGCAGCAGACAGCTTAAGCAAGAGTCTGAGTGAGGGAATATGGGAGGAGTTGTTTGGCTGTGGTGTAGGAGGAGTTATTGAGGGCTGGACAGGTAGCCTGAGTCAGGAGGGAGAGGCCTTGAACACCAGGATGAAATCTTTTTTTGAAATTATTTTTAATAGAGATAAGGTCTCGCGATTTTGCCCACACTGGTCTCTAACGTGGTTTAAGCGATCTTCCTGCCTTAGTTTCCCAATGTGTTAGGACTACAGGTGTGAACCACCTGGCCTGGCAGAGACCTTTGGTTTTAATCTCTGAGCCATACAGACTCCTGGGAAGTCCCCGCTTAATTGAATCTTCCACAATTGTTGCTTATATGTTTTGTATTCTCAGACTTTGACTCTAAGGTAGTATTACCGCCATATTTAACTAACAGGGAGTTAGGCCAAATGACCTGATCCAAGATCATACAAGGATATGACACCTGAAGTCCAACTCAGGTTGGTCTGAGTCCAGGGCCACAGTCTCATCTGAGACAAATGCGAAGTATCTAAATGAGGACCGTTTCACTTCAGGCATGATGTTTTGGCAGAAGGCAGTGGCTGGGGTTGGGCTCTCTTTAGTATTCCTTCTTATTCAGAGTCGAGAAGGAAACAAGGGATCATGAGGTAGAGAGGTTGAGGCTGACCATTCCCCACAGGTCGGCTTTTCCATGTAAGCTCATGCTTGGCCCTCCCTTGCCTGTATTTGGCATCATAACTCCACCTCTTCTGTTTGAGTGCAAATGCACCTGAGTGACATAAGGAAGGCCTTATTTGCAGTACTTTTTTTTTTTTGAAATGGAATCTCGCTCTGTCGCCTAGGTTGGAGTGCAGTGGCATGATCTCAGCTCATTGCAATCTGCACCTAATGGGTTCAAGTGATTCTTGTGCCTCAGCCTTTCAAGTAGCTGGGATTACAGGTGCCCATCACCATGCCCAGCTAATTTTTGTATTTTTAGTAGAGAGAGCGTTTCACCATGTTTGCCAGGCTGGTCTCAAACTCCTGACCTCAAACTCCTGATCTGCCTGCCTCGGCCTCCCAAAGTGCTGGGATTACAGACTTGAGCCACCTCATCTGGGCTTAGGTATGGTCTTATTTATTCCTCACAGAGACTTGAATTCCCATGTCTGAGGCTCTGAGAGGACCCATGAGCGTGAGCTGACTTTTGTATGTGGCAGGACTTAGACCAAAATCCAAGCCCTTTCCATACCACCAAGGCCAGATTTAGGAAGGGAGCCTGGTTTCAGATTCCCCAACACTGGATCAGGAACTCTGGAACTGTAACCCAGAGGGCTACCCGGAGCCCCACCTCAAGTTATTCTACTGGGGCGGCTGTTGGGACAATGACTTCACAGCAGGAAAAAGGAGAGGCTGCTGTTTGTGTGAGCCAGAGAGGTTGAACACCTGCCCAGCAGCTGGCCTGCACGTGTGCACCCTCCCTTTCCTCTAGGGTGTCTCCTCCCAGACATGGGAAATGCTGTCAGAATGCTTCCTCCTGCCAGACCACATGTAGCCCCCCACCTCCCTTCTTCCAGGGGTTCTGGTTTCTGTTATCCCAGCCTTTTCCTTCCCTGTTAGGAGATGTCCTGTCAGTTCCCAGAACCTTTAATTCTGTTTCAGAAAACACAGCCCCTCTTCATATCTGGTCTCAGACTTACCTCTGATCTCAGGAGCTGCTAATCCGTCACATGTGTGACACTGACCAGATACCCACAGTGAAAGAAGATGTGTCTCCTGCTCTACCCACAATGCCCCCACTCCTGATATCTGGGCTTCCCCCATCAAAGCTTCATGGGGAACGAAGGAATTGGCCGAGGGTCCTGCAGTATCCAGGCCCACCCCTGGCTGGATTTTTTTTCCAGGAAAGAGAGATGGGAAGATGAGGCCTGTGAGATAGGCGGAAGGTGGCTGTTTATGGAGAAGGGGACTGAACTTTGGAAGGAGGAGGTCTGAGCCTGCTGCTGACTCACTATGTTAGCCGCAGGGACAGAAATACCTACTTCAGATGGCTGTCTTGAGGCTCAAATGATAGAATATTAGTGAGGAGTTTTATGCAGAGTTTTAAGGGCTGTGTCAGACACCAGGTGGTGGAAAGGAGTTGTTTTGAGAGCAGGGAATTTAGGATACTTAGGAAATTAGAAAATTAAAGAAATCATAGAACTAAGGGAGAAGCTTAGAGTCATGAAGCAGACCCCAGGATTTGTATTTGAAGAAATGGAGGCCCAGAGAAGTTGTGACTTATCCAGGGTCACTCTGTAGGTCAGGGTGTCCTGCCTGAGTCCATGTCAGGGCTCTTCCCTGCACACCAAGCCCGGTGCCCATCTCTGTGTGACTGGCTATGGTTGGAGGGGTCTGCTAGGCTAGAGGTGCTGGAATCCCTTTTCAGTTCAGAAGTAATGAGTTTAGAGGGCCTGGAAGTAGCATGGACTGAAACCCAGGAAGGATCACAGGGACTGTTTATGCCAGTGATAACTCTAGGAAGCCACTCTCAGGATAGCTCTGCTTTGGGAGTCTGAGGTTCCAGGAAACCCCAGGAATTCAGATTCTCATCCCTGAGACCTACTCAGGACTAGCCCTGGGGATCAAGCTAGGAAACCTGCTTGAGATGGTAGAGGCAGCCAGGGGTGCGCAATGATCCAAGCTTCAATCAGTTCCACATTGATTGCTTCTCCAAATTGGCTCAAAGACAGACATGTGGCTCAAGTTGGTCTGGACTCAATCCCGGGAATTTAGGACTTTTGCTGGAAATCTGGTGTGGTGCAAGAGTGACCTAGGATTCACTCTGTGGACTGCTTGGACTCATATTCCCCCAAGACTAGAGGTTGCTGCTCCCTGGTGGGAGGAGTCACAACCTTCCAAGGGTTCTGAAGACCTCCAGGTGCTGGGTGGTGGGTTTTCCTGACAACTCCCGTAGGTCATTGGTGCCTAAATTCACACTGCCTCGCATCATAATAGTCTGATCACCCATGCTTAGCGTTCTCATACTTGCCCTAGTACAAGGGAGAGAAACAGGTGGGTGCCTCCCTAGAGTATCCACCCACACTACTGTGTCCTGAGTGCCCCACCTCAGCCTCTCTTGTGGGGAACTGTGCCTACTTTTCCTACTAACTGCCGATCTGTATGTATTCCCCTACATACATACAGCCTGTTCCGTAACCCAGTGGTTCTTAAACTTGAGCAAGCCTCAGAACCACCTGGAGGGCTTATTAACACAGATTCCTTGGGCCCCAACCCCAGTCCTGATTCTGTAGGTCTGGGGTGAGGCTTTATAATGTATATTTTAACTCCTTCCCCAGAGTTGCCCAATGCTGCTGGTACATACCAAGTGTAGAATTGGCCTCTGCACCTGTTGCACTGTAGGTCGAGGTGGCAGCTATAAAAGAGACCCAGCTATCTTGAAAATGGAGAAAAGGTACTCTCTTCAGTGGGGCTGCCAGTATTGGAAGGAATGTGAGCCTGTAGCTGTTCCTTTGCACCCATGAAGGCCAGCTTGCCTTAGGATGAAGTCAACACAGGCTAGGCATGGTGGCTTACACCGGTAATCCCAGCACTTTGGGAGGCAGAGGTGGGTGGATCACCTGAGGCCAGGAGTTTGAGACCAGCCTGACCAATATGATGAAACTCTACTAAAAATATAAAAATTGGACCGGGCGCGGTGGCTCAAGCCTGTAATCCCAGCACTTTGGGAGGCCGAGGTGGGTGGATCACGAGGTCAAGAGATCGAGACCATCTTGGTCAACATGGTGAAACCCCGTCTCTACTAAAAATACAAAAAATCAGCTGGGCATGGCGGTGCATACCTGTAATCCCAGCTACTCAGGAGGCTGAGGCAGGAGAATTGCCTGCACCCAGGAGGCGGAGGTTGCGGTGAGCTGAGATCGCGCCATTGCCCTCCAGCCTGGGTAACAAGAGCAAGACTCCGTCTCAAAAATAAATAAATAAATAAATAATAAAAATAAAAAAAAATAAAAATATAAAAATTAGCTGGATGTGGTAGCATGCACCTGTAATCCCAGCTACTTGGGAGACTGAGACAAGAAAATCGCTTGAACCTGGGAGACAGAGGCTGCAGTGAACCCGATGTTGCCATTGCGCTCCAGCCAAAAAAAAAAAAAAAAAAAGATTTCAGCTGAGCTTATCACTGGAAGAATCCTAGGTTATAAAAAAAATAAAAATAAAAAGATTTCAACTGAGGAAAAGTTACCTCTCTTTAAAATAAAAAACTTGGAAAACCATTGCTTTGGATTATGTCACAGAATTTTCAGGGTCGAAGGCAGCTTTGAAATAAACCCAGAGTGCAGCCCTCTTACAGTGGCCAGTTGTGAATTTTGCCCCTCTAGCAACTATATCCTTGATGCCTCCCACATTACAGACTTTGTAAGTATACTATAGCGAAATATATATTTGATCTTCGTCTCTGTATCCTGGCATACATACAACTCCTAAAATCCTTGGAGTCTCGGAAGTACTATCTTTTTTTTTTTTAATTGCATTTTAGGTTTTGGGGTACATGTGAAGAACATGCAAGATTGGTGCATAGGTACACACATGGCAGTGTGATTTGCTGCCTTCCTCCTCTTCACCTATATCTGGCATTTCTCCCCATGCTATCTCTCCCCTTCTCCCCACCCCCCGTCCCTCTCCCATTTCCCCCCAACAGACCCCAGTGTGTAGTGCTCCCCTCCCTGTGTCCATGTGTTCTCATTGTTCAACACCCGCCTATGAGTGAGAACATGCGGTGTTTGATTTTCTGCTCTTGTGTCAGTTTGCTGAGAATGATGGTTTCCAGGTTCATCCATGTCCCTACAAAGGACACAAACTCATCGTTTTTGATGGCTGCATAATATTCCATGGTGTATATGTACCACATTTTCCCTGTCCAGTCTATCATCAATGGGCATTTGGGTTGGTTCCAGGTCTTTGCTATTGTAAACAGTGCTGCAATGAACATTCGTGTGCATGCCTCCTTATAGTAGAACGATTTATAATCCTTTGGATATATACCCAGTAATGCTATCTTATTTGCTAATGTTGACTGAAGGCTTCAGAATGCTGGTCACCACAACGGCAAAGGCATGATTAGGGGCTGGGACTTTCAGCTCCATCCCCCAACCTCTGGGGAGGAGAGAGAGGCTGAAGGTGAAGTTGATCACCAACAGCCAATGGTTTAATCAATCATGCCTATGTAATGAAGCCTCCATACAAACCCAAGAGGACAGGCTTCAGAGAGCTTCCTGATAGCCAAGCATGCTGGGGTTCCTAGAAGGTGGCATGCTCAGGGAGGATGCGGAAACTCTGCACCCCTTCCCATATGCATCTCTTCATCTGTTGAAGGCCACACTATAAGAGCTTTGGGCACAAGTTTAAGGCTAAACCCTTCAGGAAGAAATGATCCTGACTCAATGGCTACAAAGGTAAGGCAAATCTTCCTAAGTCAGAGTTTATCCTGTGTGTGTGAGACAGAAATAGAATGAATAACGGTGTTGGAGATGGCGGTCCCAGATTCTCATAACAACTGAACCATAACTCGGAGTCACAAATGTGAGTTTCAGTTCTGGTCATTAGAACAGCAGAGTTTTGAGAGGCCCAGGACAATGCTCTCAGCACCTTAGACTTGAGGAGGAATTCTGAAAAGGAGAAGGAGATGGGGCGCAGTGGCTCACACCTGTAATCCCAGCACTTTGGGAGGCAGAGGCAGGCGGATAACTTGAGGCCAGGAGTTCAAGACCAGCCTGGCCAACATGGCAAAACCCTGTCTCTACTAAAAATACAAAAATTAGCTGGTTGTGGTGGTGCATGCCTGTAATTCTAGCTACTCACACACAAGTATCTCTTGAGTCCTGGGGTCCCAGCTACTTGGGAGGCTGAGGTTGGAGGATAGCTTGAGCCTGGGAGGTGGAGGGTCCAGTGAGACTAGATTGCACCACCGCACTCCAGCCTGAGTGACAGAGTGAAATTCCTTTTTTTTTGAGATGGAGTCTCACTCTGTTGCCAGGCTGGAGTGCAGTGGCACGATCTCAGCTCACTGCAACCTCTGCCTCCCTGGTTCGTGTTTCTCCTGCCTCAGCCTCCCGAGTAGCTGGGACTACAGGCATGTGCCACCACACCCAGCTAATTTTTGTATTGTTGCTAGAGATGGGGTTTCACCATGTTGGCCAGGATGGTCTCAATCTCGACGGCAGGATCCACCCACCTTGGCCTCCCAAAGTGCTGGGATTACAGGTGTGAGCCACCACACCCAGCTGAGATTCCTTCTCAAAACAAACAAAAAGCAAAAGCAAGAACTGGCTGGGTCCATCCACTATTTCTGTAATCCCAGCACTTTGGAAGGCTGACACAGGAGGATTGCTTGAGACCAGGAGTTTGAGACCAGCCTGGGCAACATAGCAAGAGCCCATCTCTAAAGAAAAAACAAAACTGATACATAGTCTGAGGGAATAGACCACATATGGTAATAAGGGTTCTACCCTCTAACAAGGGCAATGGCCATGGGTCACTGGACCATACATAAACTTTCTAAGGAGAGGATCCATATTGGACTTCTTCACCACTATGTCCACAGCACCTGGCACACAGTAGGTGCTCAATACACATTTGCTGAATGAATGAACGGGCTGGTCTTTCACATGGTTGCCTGGACCCAGCAGGCAAATGGCTTTGTTACGAATGGACTGAGTCTTTAGCTTTGCATCCTGGCCTCACCCCTGGGGGCCAAATGGTGCCTGCTCGGTGAACAGTGTCTGGAAAACGGGAGCAGTGATTGCAATATGTTCCCAATATGACATTTACTCAGCAGCAGCTATAATACAAGGAACAAAAGATTCTTGCCCTGTGTGACTGGAGCCTAAATGATAGAAAACAAAACAAGCAACTGGCAGTTTTCCCGTGTGTGAGTGTGTATATGTGTTTGTTTCTTGTTGTGTTAAAGAACAGAGAGGCAACAGGACAGGAATGATTATTTCCTTTTTTTTAAACACAGTTTCACTCTGTTACCAAGGCTGGGGTGCCGTGGTGTGATCATAGCTCACTGCAGCCTCAAATTCCAGGGCTCAAGCGATCTTCCTGCCTTAGCTGCCTGAATAGCTTCGACTACAGGCGCACGCCACCACACCCGGCTAATTTTAAAAAATTTTTTGTAGAGACGCGGGGTGGGGCGGTGGGAGGGGTGGGGGGTCTCACTAATTGCCCAGGCTGGTTTGAACTTCTGGGCTCAAGTGATCCTCCTGCCTCGGATTTCTTTCTTTCCTTTTTTTGCCCCCTGGGGAGAAGGGAGCTCCTAGGAGGAAATGTGGAAGACTGAAAGGCGGTTCCTTTGTGGCTCCTTTCTGCCTGGCTGGTCTGAATTCCCTGGTTTTGGAGGCAGCCTCAGGTGTTCTCAGGTTTAAAGGTAGGGGGTAGCCTCGTTCCCAACGCCCAGCTCGGAGAAGCGGTGACTGGGAGTGCAGCTGTGGGGGTGGGACCACCGGCTTTCCCGAGCCCCAGAAGAGCGCGTGCGCAGTCCGCGGGACTCCGTGACGCAGAGACCGAGAGCTTTCGGGACCTTCACAGAAACAGCCGAACACCTTCGAGCATCCGACATATATTGTATTTCGACTTTAGCCCAAACCAGGTCTCCCTTAAGTCCCACCTCCTGGAAGCTCCGCCCGCAACCAGCCCTGGGAAGCCGTCCTGTTAGGGATCACCCGCCCGAGAAGCGCCCCAAGTCCCCGAAGCCCTGCCCGCCCGCGGCCGGGAAGGGGCGCGCTCAGCAGTTGACGTTGAGTACGTGGCAGGAGCAGGCGCTGCGGAAGAAGCGGCACTGGCAGGAGGCGCACGGGTGGCAGCAGGCGGGTGCTGGCGGCTTGCAGCTGCCGCGGGTGGCCACGCAGGACGTGGATAGGGGGGTCTGGCGCTGCGCCACTTTCTGCTTCGAAGCCGCCTTCTGCGTGGGAAACGCCGGGGCTTTACGAGCCAGCCACGCCCGCCCCTCGCGTCTTCACCTCTACCTGGGAGCTCCTCGGGCTAGGGAGGTCCCGGCCCAGAGATTTCTCCTCCTGCTTGTCCACCGCCGGCTCAACTCAAACCCGCAGGGTCCCTGCCAGCTCCCCAGTCAGATACTCTCACCTCCATTCCCATCTAGACTTACCTGGCTCTTGCCTGGCCCTGGCCCTCTTCTCCCTAGTTTTTGTTTTGTTTTTTAGACAAGGTTTCATTCTGTTGCCCAGGCTGGAGTGCAGTGGCGCGATCTCGGCTCACTGCAACCTCGACCTCCTGGGCTCAGGTGATTCTTCTACTTAAGCCTCCCAAGTAGCTGGAGCCACAGGTGCGCGCCACCACCCTGGCTAATTTTATTTTCTATTTTTTGTAGATAGAGATCTCACTATGTTGCCCAGGTTGGCTCAAACTTCTGGGCTCAAGTGATCTGCCTGCCTCGGTGTGGGAAGTAGAAAAGTTCCTTTTTAAAGTTTCTTTTCTTGTTAAAGAGTAAGTATGCTAATAACTTAGTTAAGCCCTATCCTATGTAGCTGTTAAACATGCCATACTTACAGGCACATAGTATATTCTATGTCCTTGTAGTTTAACCAAGATATCTGTGCTGGACATGCTCACAGGCATGTCCCAGCTATTACTTTTACCTGTTTAGATGAGTAAGTTGTGGCTGGGCGTGGTGGCTCATGCCTGTAATCCCAGCACTTTGGGAAGCCAAGGCGGGTGGATCACCTGAGGTCGGGAGTTTGAGACCAGCCTGACCAACATGGAGAAACCCCGTCTTAACTAAAAATTCCAAAAATTAGCTGGGTGTGGTGGCACATGCCTGTAATCCCAGCTACTTGGGGGGCTGAGGCAGGAGAATTGCTTGAACCCAGGAGAGGGAGGTTGCGATGAGCTGAGATCATGCCATTTCACTCTAGCCTGGGCAACAAGAGTGAAACTCTCTCTCAAAACAAAAACAAAAACAAAAAGGAAAGTTTAGGCCGGGCTTGGTGGCTCACGCCTGTAATCCCAGCACTTTGGGAGGCCGAGGCGGGTGGATCACAAGGTCAAGAGATCGAGACCATCCTGGTCAACACGGTGAAACCCCGTCTCTACTAAAACTACA